GGCAAAGCGGCACTTGCTTAGCTTGGCGTAGAAGCCATGTCTGCGCAAGCGATCAAGGACGTCGCGGAGGTGTCTGAGGTGCTCCTCAAGGGTACGACTATAGACCAGGATATCGTCGAGGTAGACGAGAACGTACTGCTCCAGGATGTCCCTGAAGATGTCGTTCATCGCCCTCTGGAAGGTAGCGGGTGCGTTGGTGAGGCCGAACGACATCACTGTGAACTCGTAGTGGCCGAATCGCGATCGGAACGCGGTCTTCGGCTGGTCGGCTGCAGCGACGCGGATCTGATGGTAACCGCTATGAAGATCAATCTTCGTAAAGAAGCGGTTACCTGCTAGGCGGTTGAACAGCTCATCGGAACGAGGCATGGGGTAGCTGTTCTTAACCGTGTAGCGGTTGAGGCCGCGGTAGTCGATGCAGAGACGAAGAGTTCCATCCGCTTTGCGAACAAAGAGGACGGGTGCACCCCAAGGGGAGTTGCTGGGTTTAATGAAACCCAGTCTCAGGAGCTCCTCAAGCTGACGCTTGAGTTCGGTGGCCTCCGGGATTGAGAGTCTGTAGGGTGCCTGGTGGTGAACACGATAGTCAGGCACGAGCTGAATGGAGTGTTCGACGTCGCGCATCGGTGGGATGCCGGCGTACGAGAACGACGATGGGAAAACGTCATGGTACTCACAGCTGAGGTCACGAACTGCGGGCTCCAAGTCAGCCGTATATCGTGCGAGTTCCTCAGCGTCAGCGTCAGCGCGCGACGGCGGGGTGGACTCGACGGACGGCGGAGGGATGGAAGTAGAGATGGGAGCCATGGAGATAGAGGGAGGATCTGGCTCCAGAGGGAAGAGCTCGACGTCGGGACAGGGTGGATCATAGTGTAAGAGATCCGTCACGCCCACCATAAAGAAGGTGACGTCGTCCTGTCGAATGAAGTGAGCGAACTGTCGAGGCGAGGTGACAGTAATAGAGGGAGATGGTATGGGCACTGAAGGCTCCAGGGGAGGAGGATCGGGGTGTGGTGTCGTCGTGGTACCTATGAAAGGTACGCGATACGTCTGTTCACACTTCGTTTTGAGAATGAGAGTGTTGGTCGCCCAATCGGCCTCGGTGCTGCGGAACCGACGAGACCACGGAGTGCCGGGAATGAAGTCGTACCCCGTCTCCATCACATCGAAATGTGCAAAGGAGCGGTGGCGACGAGACGCCGGGGAACGCTCAGTCAGCTCGAGAGTGAGGAAGAAGGGGAGGTCGGTGACCGTCTGATCGAAGAAGCGCTAGGTCTTGTCATCCCCTAGGGTAACGGAGATGGGAGTCGGAGACCCTGTCGTGGGTAAGCGGGCTTCCTTCACCATTCGTGGGTGAATGAAGTCGCCCTGAGAACCGGAATCCCACAGCGCTGAGTACACCCTCGTGGAGGTCCCGAGTCGTACGGGGATGATCGGGAGGGTGCAATCAGGGTCAGAGAGGATGGCGAGAAGGCGACGCAGTGCAGCGACATGGAGGGTGAGTCGCTCCTGACGAGCCTGGAGCATGCTCAAGTCCAGAAGTGAGGACACAACGTCCTTGCGAGTAGCAAGCTGCTCGCTGCAACGGGTTGAGCGAATGGCTCGACGCATCGGTAGTTGCGGCGGGGAAGGAGGGGAGACGGTGGTCTGCGGAGGCGCAGACGGTACTGCGACAGAGGGCGGAGTACACTCTGTCGAGTCCTGCGATACCTCAACTCCAGTAGCGAGAGGGGCGAACCGCGACGGAGATGTCAGGAAGCCCACTACTGAGGAGG